GAAGTAGGATTGCCCAACCTTCCTTCCGAGGAGTGTCTGGTGAACTTGAACCGCCAGCCTTCTGGTGAGCAGTCAAGTGCCTTAGGCACTATGCTACCAGAGCTCCTACTCCTAGCAAAAATAAATTCCAACTTACAATCAGGCCTGTTTAATGATAACTACCAAATGGTAATCAGCAAAGCCAAGCCCTGTAGTAGCCTGGTGGTGCTATGGTTAAGACATTGAGCTGCTAATCAAAAGGTCAGTGTTTAAACTCACCAGCCACTGCATGGAAGAAAGGTGAGGCAGTCTGCTTCCATGAAGATTTATAGCCTTGGAAACCCAGTGGAGGTCACTATGAGTCAGAATCAACTTGATAGCAGTGAGTTTAGTTTAGTTTTGAGTCGTAGCTGTAGCTATTTCCTCTGTCAACAGAGGTGTGAGACTACAGTCACATTGCTTGGTAGTAATTGCTGCCTTAGAGGTGGTATGATATCCCTGTGGGTTTTTTATTTATTTATTTTTATGTGTCTTATTTGTGAGGGTTATAATAAAGAAAGAAGGGGTCTTGGTGCTGCAGTGATTAAATCACTTGGCTGTGAACCAGAAGATCAGTGGTTTGAGCCCTTCAGCCACTCCAAGAAAGAAAGATGTGGCAGTCAACTTCCATAAAGATTTACAGCCTTGGAAAACCCTTTGGGCAGTTCTGTTCTGCCCTACAGGGTTGCTATGAGTTAGTTGGAATTGACTCGGTGGCACTTGGTTTGGTTTTGGTTTGGTATAAAAAGAAGAAAGCCATAGGTGGGAATTGATGTACAAGTAAGTGAAAACCTATAATTGGCATTGCTATCTTCTACAAAAATATTAGAAAGTATATAATTCTAGAACTTAACTCCCAAAAGGCAAACCTAGCTGATGGAAGAATTAATTTTCAAGTCATCTCCTGAGCTGGTGCATTTCCTTTCTCTCTGGCCCATAGTCTCTCTCAACTCTCCCCTACACAATGACCCCTAAATTATTTCACACAAATTCTGATAGCCTTCTATAAAAAAAGGTTCCGACTCTTGTTCCCAATTAACTTTTACTACTGTGCCCTTACTCCTGAGAATTTCTTCCTTCCTGATAAATGTTACCTAGCAAGACCTGGTTTTGAAAAGTGGTTTTTGGTATTTTCAGAGCAAGCACCAGAAGCATCAGGCCTTCGAAGCAGAGCTGCATGCCAATGCTGACCGGATCCGCGGAGTCATTGACATGGGCAACTCCCTCATTGAACGTGGGGCCTGTGCTGGCAGTGAAGATGCTGTCAAGGTACAGTCCACCAGCTCCTTTCCTCCTGGCCCCCTGCATGTTACTGTCAATTTATGATTTTTAAGTAGTCTTCAAGAAAATCAACAGATTAGAAGATTTTTCAGCTGCATTACAAATGGGGAAAGATAGTGAGAAGGGTCTTAATGAATGTTTTCTGTTCTTCTCTCTTAGAGCTTACCAGTCAGGCTCTAGAAGAAGAGGGGCTTCTTAATGGATTTCATCATTTCTAATGGCTCCCTTCTCTTCCCTAGGCCCGACTGGCTGCCTTAGCTGACCAGTGGCAATTTCTGGTGCAGAAGTCAGCTGAAAAAAGCCAGAAACTGAAGGAAGCCAACAAGCAGCAGAACTTCAACACTGGAATCAAGGACTTTGACTTCTGGCTCTCTGAGGTAATGCTGAGTGGTTTTCCCTTCCCATCAGTGGGTCATTTGGTTTGGTGAGCCTAAACCTGACAAGGCAGGCTCACCACATGCCTCTTTTAACAGAAGTCTTTATTATCAAGACCTAAGTGGTGTGTGGTAAGGGATTTATAAGCAGAAGGGTAAATGTTTAAAGAAGAGAGCGCTCCTTTTGGTGGGACAGGGAGTACAGATCACTCGACTCCATAAGAACTGCAAATAGGAAGAGATGATGGGATCTCTGTGGCAGGCAGCTAGAACAAGTCTATGCTGAGGTAAAAATCAAAATCACAATGAGTTAGTAATGCATTCTCCTTGTAGAAAATTTTGATAATACAGAAAATAGAAGGAACTAGACATTTTTTTAGAGACCACTACTAATAACTTTTTACAGGATTTCTTACTATTCTATACATATTTTCATTAATATTTGTGTAGAGCTCACCATGTAAGTTTTCATTCATTATTATATATTGGGAGTGTTATCCCAAGTCACTAGGAGCTCTGGTAGCATAGTGCCTAAGGCACTTGACTGCTCACCAGAAGGCTGGCGGTTCAAACCCA